TCTTCTCCGAGCTGATTCGGTCAATAGAGCTGAAGCGCTTTGAGGTTAGAGAGCTGATTAAAGCTCAGGAGAAGACGGCCATCGGTGAGGCAGAGAAGCTGCTGGAGCAGATTCAGAAGGAGATCGGCGAGCTGAAGAAGAATGAAGATGAACTGGATAGGCTTTCCCACGCTGAAGACCCCATCCATTTCCTTCAGGTGGATAAGAGTTTGTCTCACTCTCAGGACATTGGCTGTAAAGTATTTTACTGTGACAATATGCTACACAATGAAAATAGTCCCTGTTTGTAGGGAGTTCTTAAACTTAGGAATTTCCGAAGCTTTTATCACATCCAGACCCTTTCGTAGATAATCTTTCACTACTGTAATCCCAGCCTTGGATCTGGTGCCTTGTGGTCGTTGACCAAACCATTTTATGTCTTGTCAAAGTCTTGGGAAAAAAAGTGGTTCAAGTTTTATCTTCACCACTGTTCCTGGTCTGTATTTAGAGCTGTCAGTCCCTCCATGCTCCACCTGTGCTGTCGGCTTCGCCGTTGGTTGCATCGGACCCAGACTTCACCTTCGGCCCGGTGATGACAGCTGTGTCAGATTTTAAGGCGCTTCTGCAGGAGGTCTGTCAGAACGGATGTGTCAGCATTTATGAGAGAGGTAGATACAAAAATTTGTATCACATTTTAATTTTTTGCACCATAAATGATTCTGTCGACTGTCTGTTGACGTTGTTCTACTTTTTTATCTTTTACAGTGAGAAATATAGTAATTGTAAGGAATCCAGATCTCGCAGTCGAGTCTGACTGCACGGTGGTGGATCAAAGTTTTCATCTGGAAGCTGTACAAATGGAAGCAGCTGCATGTGAGTGTTCATGTGTGTCACATTCACAGGTTTTATTAACAGTCTTAAACAGTGCAGCAGTTTTGGTGGTCGGGGATGATTTTTAATCATCTTAAATCACTCTTTTAAATCAAAATCACCATGTTATCTGCGCTGGATTAAACACTCTTACAAAGCTCAGTACATTTCTTTTTTTAGGGTTTTGTTTAATGTAGGTGCTGCCTATTGCTCAGACTGTACAGACTGTGATTTAAGGGCATTACACACCGAGCGCGTTGTGAAAAAGTAACCTGAAATTCCAAAATTTGTCATGTAAGAAATATATGCACCAAATTTGTAATTTCCCTCAAAAACATACTGTGGGGGGCCAAAAAACAAACCTGCCATTTCTAAACCAGAACAGAAAGAAAAGGAGATTGTGGCAGCAGCACGGAGAATTTCATGATTTGATCCAGGAGCTGAAGCTGTATCACGACCGCTTTCAGAAATATTTCAGGATGTCAGTGGAACAGTTTGAGCTCTTGTTGGGAGCGCGTCTGACAAGGCAGAGAAATCATTTCAGAGCGACGTTAGAACAGCAGAGCAGCATGTAGCTGTGTGTCTGAGGTAAAATAGGATTATTCTACTATTTCCATAGGTCCTGTATGCTTTTTGAGTATGAGCACATTTGTTGCTAAATGCAGTGTTCTGATTGGTCACATCTGTTTATTCGAATCCAAAAAATCAGAAAAAGTCGAGCTTGGTTCAAAAACATAAATTCTGCAAATTTGTCCAGTAAAATCCATCCAGACTGAACGGCTGCATTAAGAACAGGTGAGTCATTTTTAACATATGAAATAGTCGCACGTATTTTAGGCGTCCGGTGTGTAAAGGCCTCTAGGGTCATTTAAATAAACCTCCCCTGGCAGCAGGGTCACACACCATTAAGATATTGAACATTAAAATGTATAATTTACTGATTTCAAACAACCCTTAGATAATAAATGGCAGTTAAAATAAAGAATATCTAAATAAAAAATATAAAGTAATATAATAATTGGGTGATATTGTTGTATACAGCTGGGAGATACTGACAGAAATGTGATATAAATATAAAAGAAATTCATCCACTTTATCAAAAGCTCAGTGGTCTACACTGTTATTTTTTATGTTTGGTGTAACATGAAAACAAAATGAATATTTTCCTGTTTTTCTAGAAGGAATTTACTTTAAATCAAACTTAAGTAAGACTAATATAAATCCACAAAAAACTCTCACACATCACCAAAAACACACTAATATGAAATGTGAATTTCTGTCCTAATAAAATTCTGTTTATTTATTAATTTTTTATTTTAATTGTGAAAAATAAGACATGTTAATCTGACCTTATTATCTCACAGCAGAAACTGTTTGTTTACAGTTGGCTTTGCTGAATCTGCAGATAAAGACCGATACCTGAGACTCTGTAGTAACCCTGTTTGTTACCCGTCTTTGTTATCGCAGTGATCCCTTCGCCTGGTCTAGACCAAAGTCATGTGAGTCCTCTCAACCCCTTCCTCACTCCAGGACCTCCAGCGTTTTCCTTCTCACCATTTGGTAACTACAACATTTAAACAGTATTTACTGCACGTGTGTGAAACCCACTTAACTCAAGCAAACCACATGCAAATCCTTCCACTCGTATTATTGTTCTAGTGTAATAAAGAAAGAAGCCGATTGAGTGTAGATGTGCTTAAACCCGCCAGTGCCGGGTGTCACTGTAACAAGAACTTGTGCAAATATTAACTGTTGTTTCTTTGTTTGATAGATTTGTTTGTTGTGTTTTGTTTACATAGTCAATATTTTAAAGCTAATCTTTAGTTAATAAGTAGCTCAGCCAGACGGTCGAGAATCTTTAAATACCGATTTTTGTCTCCGCCTGGGATCGTTCCCTTGTTAGGTGGATGTGTGAAGCTCTACACTTTGGAGCCACTCAGTACCGTTTGAGACCTAAATTTTATTTGATACACGTCAGCAAGCAGTGCTCTCGTGTGGCTGCGTGGAACTCCTAGTCCTAATCCCAAGCTTTGATTAATGGGGGGGTTGTGTCAGGAACTTATGGAAGCTCATTTCTGGCACTAAAAACATTCACGAGTTACAATTTAGATTTTTATTTAAAAGTTTTTGTTTGGGTATCTCACAATTCTCACTTACTAACTCTATCTTCTGTAAAAATAACTTGAAATTTTAAATTGTTTTCTCAATTTTTAGTTATTTTCTCACAAGTTTGAGCTGAAATTTTCACTGTTTTCCAGGAGTGGAAACAAGCTTCTATTTGATGGTCTGATATTAAAAAAAAAAAAAAAAAAAAAAAGCGGTAAAAAATGAAACGTGGATCGATCCGTTGTGGTGACCCTTTGGGAAATAAGGGATCAGCCAAAGTACTTTGAGATAAATCTATAGCCACGTGACAAATGTGGTATAATCGTGTAAAAAAAAATGCCAAAGTAAAGGAGTAAAGTTTGACTTTAAAAAAAATGTTTGCTCATGCTGGCTAATTGATTGCTGCTAAGTCAGGTTTTTGGATTGAACATTTTAGCTTAAAGGCAGGCAGGGATCGATTCACTTAATCTAAATTCTATTAAACAGCGTCACAAAATGAGACAAGAAAAAAACTCAAAACTTCAGAAAACAATGAAAAAAGAACATCAATCGCTTCCACGCTGCGGGACTTTGGTTTTTATTCATATTGTTCCAGAAAAGCTTGTTTTTACACATGTGTGCATTGATCTTTTTACGTAGCTATTGTTGTTGATCATCATTCTTTGTAGAAGGTTCGATCCAGTATCAAGCAGTGGTTAAGCAGAAAATTAGTAACAACTTTACCCCTTTCTCACATTTCAAGCTAGACTCTACTGGTATAAGTTGTGGTATTTATTTGTGCTAAAGACAGAAGACAAAAAAAAAAAAAGATTTCTTTCTTTGTTTCCTTCTTTTTCCAGGCTCTAAATTCTCCTCGGGATCCAGACATAAGCACCCTCCACGACGTGCTCACCCCAGGAGGAAATAAGACTTCTTAAGGACATCAAACCTCACTTTCACACATTCACCCTGATGGAACGTCATTATACTCAAGTGCTGTCCACACACAAAGCCACACTACAACCGAAGTCATGTAATTGCTGTTTTTTTTAATTTTTTTTTATTCTGCTATACTCAAATTTAAGCAGTGTTGGGAAAAGCACGAGGAAAGCATCTGTGAAGATTGCACTGACGATGTATTCAGCAGCAACAAGCAGGGCTGACTTAGTGCGTTTTATTTCAGTGTTAGATGCTTTTAAAGGTATATTATTTATTTTATTTTTTTAACCCTGTAATCCTCTGTAAACAGTCATATTTGCTTCAATGATAACGTGGATTCTTTGACATGCTGGCATTAAAAAACAAATGCACTACATTTTCTCACGGGTGGTTTTTGTTTACACATCAGCTCCGTGACCAAAACGCTGGCTCCAGGCACGTAAACAATACCATTTTCCAGTACAGCCTCATATCAGATTGTATTTAAATGTGATCTCACAGGAACTTCCCTGATGTGGGACCTGGAGGCGTTTTCTTTGTCAGGCTGGTCTTTGCACAGGCTCTCTGGGACGGCCCATTTGCTTCTTTGCTGGCTGTGATTGGAGGCTTCAGGTTGCAGCAGGTGAAACCCGAGAAGCTGCTGTCAGCACACCTGTGAACTACGCCCATCTTTGCCTGTTCTAGTTTCAGTCGAGAGTGCAGGAAATGGCAGCCACAACTATTTCTGTTGAGCAGGACCAGTTCTGCTGTTCAGTGTGCCTGGAGGTGTTAAGAGACCCAGTGACGATCCCCTGTGGACACAGCTACTGCCTGGAGTGCATTGAAGACTACTGGAACAGGGCCAAGCAGAAAGGTCAGTGGAGCTGTCCTCAGTGCAGGCAGGTGTTCAACCCAAGACCTCTCCTGAGCAGGAACACGGTTCTGGGTGAACTGGTGGAAAAGCTTCAGAAAACCGGATTTCAGGCCGAAACTCAACAATCCACCAAACCAGAGGAGGTGAAATGCACTTCATGTACGGTGAGAAAAAGCAAAGCCGTGAAGTCATGCCTTGTGTGCGTGGGGTCGTACTGCGCCTCTCACCTGAAAGCCCACGAAGAACGCTTTCGTGGAAAGGGACATAAGCTGATCCCACCTTCGGATCAGCTGAAAGAGAAGCTGTGCCCACAGCACGATAAGTTACTGAGGCTGTACTGTCACAATGACCAGCACTGTGTGTGCTCGCAGTGTGTTAAAGAGAGCCATAAGGGCCATGAAACTGTCTCCGTGGTGGACGAGAGGGCAAAACAGCAGGTGGGTTTGAGCGTGTTTTTTTTTTTTTTTGTAATCTTTTCTGAGTGGATTTGAAATTCAAATGTGCACTTGACCTTCTATTGGCTTTCTAAGACCTTTATTTAGACAGAGAGCTTTTACTGCCAGCACTAATTTGGATTTTAAGGGGAAACTTGTCAGGATTTACATATTAAATCAGTACTTAGGGTTAGTACTCCTCAGTCTGTAGAGGTAAATGTTAAAGACAGAGAGAGAGACAGATGAGGAATGAGAAAGAAAAGAAAATGAATACTTTGAAATAAAAGCAAACACCTTGTGTTAAGGTCAGCCCTTTTGTTATATGTACACAGTAAATTCAAAGCTGTGTATATGAAAAGGAAATCAAAAGGACCCCCGTTGTTTGAAAAAACCGACCAATTAGAGACTGTTACCTGTTAGGCTGCTTGTTGAATATTTTCCTATTTTCCAGATAAGGTCATGTGTACAGTCTATGATGTAAGCTCAAAAAACTCTTAACCGACATTTTTTGGAAAGCTGAGTTTTGCTGCCAGACCTGTTGAATCAAGGAATCACTTAAAACATGTGAAGTAGACTAAGATTGTCTTTAAAGCAACACATCATTCCACAATCTAAAGAAACACAAGAAAAGATGAGAACAAAGTCACTGATATGTGTCAAGGCTTCAAAGTCACAGTGATAGCCATTATATACAAATGAAGAAAACTCAGCATTGAAAATATTGAACACAAGCAGAGTAACGTGTGCTTTGGTCCTGCTGCTGTATCTTGGCTGGAAGACCAAAGGCCTCCTACTGTACTGCCATCCTTTGATTTTTGAAATCAAAACTTTCCACCGTGAAATGCAGCCGTGAAAAATTATTCGCCTAAGCGGCACAGGGGACTGCTCCATGTGATTGATATTCATCTTTTGTATTCTCTTAGAAAAAACTCCAGGAGACCTCTTTGAAGTCTGTGCAGAAACTGAAGGAGACTGAGAAGGAACTACGATACGTAATCAGATACATCAAGGTGAGTGCATTTCCTCTCCGGGAGCTTTAAAATGTGTCTTTGTCAAAAGTGCAGTTCCAGTGAATCCAGGGGACCAAAAGAGGAAACTTTTATCTTCCACAGCACTCCACGGAGGCTGCACAGGAGGAGAGTGAGAGGATTTTCTCCAAGCTGATCCGATCCATCGAGAAACAGAACAGCGAGGTGAAGGAGCTGATCAGAGTCCAGGGCAAAGCAGCCGTCAGTCAGGCTGAGGAGGAGCTGGAGAAGATACAGAAGGAGATGGCCGAGCTCAAGAGGACCGGCGCTGAGGTGGAGAAGCTCTCTCACACTGAAGACCACATCCACTTTCTTCAGGTGTGAAACTGAAGTTTGAACTAAAAATGTGGGAAAGATTGACTTTTGTTTTTAATCTAACCACAAGTCTCCCTTATAAGGGAAACCTTCAAAGCTTTTTGATATACTTTGCTGATTTGGGGCCCTGAGGCCAGAAAGGGGTTTTATAAATGCACAATCTGCTCAGTTTAGTGTTCACTTACCTCTCTTCGCTTTGGATGGTGAGGGAAATCCTAATCAGGCAGAAGGCAGTGAGGTTATTTCCCATTTTACTAACGTCTAGATAATTTACTGTCACTGTTCCTCTTACAAATTGCTGAAATTAATAACATCTAAAAGTTAGTACACTGTCATTTCTATATTTACTTATGAAGTGAAATTTAACTGAGGATGATAAATAATCCAAATGACACGTGTGCTATCAGCTTTAGCTACTAACACTAAAGTTCATTCAGCGTCTGTTGAAGGATCTCCAGAATCAAGGACAAATCTGAAACTTCGCATGAGAAAAACTGAAGTGAAAACTCAAATTACAAACTTTAAAATTCAGAAGTTGCAGTGATCTTCAGTCACACATCATTTGGCAAAGGCACTTTGTAAGGTCCCTTCCCAGAAAGACTCCTGTATGTTTACTAATGCAGAACTATGGAAAAGGTCAAACCTGCCGACTTTTGCTTGCCGTCTTATGACCCTGCTTTTCCCTATTTGGATCCATGTTAACATGAGTAATGTTTGAACTGCAGCCAAATGGCCTATTTATCAAACACAAGTATTCAGCACTCACGGGAACAGTTTATCCTGGCACGATAATATATTTAAATGCTTTGTCTCCTTTTAATCCTTTTTATTAAATTAAAAAAATAATAAAACTTGCTCTTTAATTATGGTCTGGGCTGTAAGCGATTCACCACAACTGTTTTGTGAGCCTTCCTGGTTTATTTACACCTGCTGCATTTGTATTCAAATTAGGGCTGTGCGATATGACCAAAATCTCATACCCCGATATAAGAATTATATCATCCGAAACATATAAATCACAAAAATGTAACATTTTCTGTAAATTCTGTGAATCTCGGGCAGCTCGTCTTGCGTGAAGTGTTTCCAGCTGCGTGTCATGTAGCTGGAGTCGAGTGTTTTAACAGATGCATGAAACGATACATTTTGAGACATTAGTTGTAACGGCTGCCGTTTTCTTTGTGAGTATTTATTACACGGCATGCTGCGGGGAAAAGCCTGTCCTAACGTTTGAGTCTTAGGTTTATTTTTTAGCACCTAGCGGCTCTTTTTTTTTTTTTACTTCTCATCCGTAAATAAACTGCTCTTTTACGTGATTCAGTTTATTTTGAAAAGTCTCAACAGGATCTTGAGCTTTATTGTGAAAGGTTTGTGGAACATAAACAAGCGGACACGCGATGGTTTTACAGTTGTTGTTGCTGCTAACCACAATGCATAAAAACAGGCTCTTGTCCATCCATAGTGGTTGTATAAAATATAAGAGAAAGAGAGAACTTTAATTAATATAGTCACTACAGTAACCATCAAAACGATGAAAAAATATTGCTGTAAAGAGTTTATTTTGCAACACCACGAAACAAACGATAGCGTAAAATGAAACGATAGACGTTTTTATATTGTCATCCGATATATATTGTTATATTGAACAGCCCTAATTCAAATGCTGTTGTGTTGAATGTTTTTGCAGAAGTGCAAGTCTCTTCACTTCCCTACAAAGTCCATGGAGATGCCCAGCACTGATGCGCTTCATTATTTGATGTATAAAACCACGAAAGGAGCGCTGGTTAACCTGAAGGACAATCTGGATGATACACTTCAAAAAGAATTCTCCAAAATATCTGAAAAGGGTAAGAAGTGACGTAAACATACCCTTTACTTCACTTCTCATTGCAACACACCTTTATTTTCTAATTTGCATTTTCAGTCACTTTACTGAAAGAAAGCAGCAGTAAGAACAACTCTGAAAAGGCTAAAGGTGAGATTTACTAACCTCACACACAAAAGCAACTTAGAAAACTGTCACTTATGTTTAATTTAACCCTTTATCCTCTAAATCTAACAGTTAAAGACGCTGACATACCCTACAACTCAGAACCAAAGACGAGAGCTGATTTTCTTCAATGTGAGTACAATCATTTACAAATCATACCACAATCATCAAATACAGTCATCTAGCACACGCTCATCTTCTGTCCAGATTACAACGATATAATCCTGGACCCGAACACTGCCAACTCTTACTTGTGCTTCTCTGACGGGCAACGAGCCGTGACCACACGCGCCGACCCGCAGCCCTACGCGGACCATCCAGACCGCTTCACCAGCTGGGCCCAGGTGCTTTGTAAGGCCGGGATGGCCGGACGCTGCTACTGGGAGATCGAGTGGACCGGAAACGGAGGGGTTTCCGTCGGCGTGTGCTACAAGAACATGAGCCGGGCCGGAGGAGGGAGCGAGTGCAAGCTGGGGCACAACTCTAAATCGTGGACCCTGGACTGCTCACCCACAGCCTGTTCATTTCAGCACAATAAGGAGAGCATGACTATCAGTGCCCAGTGTGCTAGCAGAATAGGAGTGTATCTAGATTTCAGGGGTGGGACTTTATCCTTCTTTAATGTTTCTGATGCAATGGTTCTGCTTCACAAAGAGAAAATCACATTCACGCAACCTCTATACCCTGGATTCTGGGTGGGGCTGGGCTCTACTTTGAAGCTGTGCTCAATTTAACATGTGAAGACAGGCAGAATAATTAATTTCAGTGAGAATAATGATGAAACTGAGGCAGATGTTTGTGCTCAAAGATTTGCTTTTCTTTTTATTAACCACACCCGAAGCAGCAGCAGCAACAACACTTTGGTGGAGCAGGTGAAGGGCTGATGGAGCTTAGATCTTATTGAAGGCAGCAACATCGACACTCTGGATCTACAGAGGAAGAAAGAATTGAATGTAAAGTCAATTATTGCAACATATTTATGCTATTAAGATTTAATGTAATGAAAGCTATTATTTAAATAAAGCTGTTATACTGATTAACTTACAAAACTGGTAAAAGATGTTTTGTGATGAGTGAGTGAGAAGTCTTCACTAAATGGTTACTGCAATATATGATTTCTTGCACCAATGATTAAAAAATAAATTGAATTTTTGATTCATATCTCAGAGCAGAATAAGAGATAAGGAGTAGATTCATGAATGGAGAGGTAGGAGTCCATAAGAGGAAACCACACCTTTTTAAAAAAAAAAAAATTCTTATTACAAAGGACGTAAGCATTTTTGGAGAAAATATCTGTGTGGTGAAAGGAGGGAACCATTTCTAATCTGAACACTGGGATGTAAAACTCTCGTTCAGCTGCATTGTGCAAAACTGTGGCATAAATGTAACCTGGAGCTCAGCAGATAAAGTTAAAACATGGCTCAACACCAAACTGTTTACACCTCTGTGATTGTTACTTACATAGTCCTCAAACTTGGTGATCTCCTCTTCCAGGATGTCTGTGCCAACTTTGTCGTCCTCAACCACACAGCTGATCTGCAGCTTCTTGATGCCATAGCCGACTGGCACCAGCTTGGAAGCTCCCCACAGGAGCCCGTCCATCTGCACCGAGCGCACACACTCCTCCAGCTTAGCCATATCCGTCTCATCATCCCACTAAACACACACAAGAAGGGGAGAGACAAATACCAATCGGGTTCAATGACACAGCTCACATTACAGTTAAAATGTATCGCTTAAAAGTTTAAATTTTTTTTCCCCCCTCCTCAACAATCATTACTATTACAGACTAGTCAGTTTTTCAGAATTTACCAGAAAAATACTTATCTACGAATAAAATGTATCAAATTAAAATTTTAAAGAAAAACTTGCACATGTGAAAATCTGTTATGCTTCGATAGATACTTACGGGTTTGACATCCAGCAGGATGGATGACTTAGCAATGAGAGCTGGTTTCTTTGCCTTCTTGGCTGCGTAAGCCTCCAAGCGCTCCTGCTTTATACGTTCTGCCTCCTCATCTTCCTCGTCGCTGCCAAACAAGTCTATGTCATCATCGTCACCATTTATCACTTTTTCCTGTTTGACTGGAGCAGCCTGGACAATGCAGATGGAAAAACAAAGGGAATAGATGGTGTATTTTACAAATAGTCTTTCTAGTGTGTGACTCAAAACATCACAGTGAAAGGAATGAAGGAAAGGAACTTCAATTGATTATGTGAAATGAGGACGAAAGGGTCGCAGGTACAAGATATTTGAATAAAAATACAATCAAACAATAAGACAAGGTAAAAAACAAAACACACACCCCCCAAAAAAAAACCAACCCTCCCCACCCACACACACAAGACAGAAGATTAAAGAAATGACTTCAAATCAAAACCAAAAGTGTGATCTGCCACTATACACATGTTTCTCTTTTGATTAACATCAAAACTTGAATTCAAGTAGACAAGATTTCTAGGATCCCCCGAAAGACGTCTGTTTTAAAAGCTATGAACATCCCACAGCATCTACCTTTGCAGCAGGGATGGCTGCTGGTGCTGGGCTCTTCTCCAGCACAGCCACTCTGGACTCCAGCTTCTGCAGGGTTGCCCTCATCTCAACCACCACTACATAAGCAAACACAAAGTCAAAGTCAAAGACATGCATTTGCCACTTGGGGGCAGCAAAAACGAGCTTACAAATAAGGGCACATCTCAAGCTGGTCAACAGGGTTGCCTTTAACACATTCAAATCTGTTTGTGCTGGTTTACAATCCCTTACCAGCCTCTCCACATTTTGCTTTGAACTTCTCCATAGTTTCCTACATTTTTGTAACTGTTATAGCCAAATTGATTGTTTACCACCCTTCATCGTGGATGTGTACACACTGCAGACAGATGTATGCATGTAAGAAAAGACTGAACCTGTCAAGATGATCAAGTAAACTCTTTAAATAGATTTGCACAAAACAGGTTTTTTTTGGGTGATTTAGATTCCAGACACCTTTATGGTCAACCTGATACTGGTTTTGGCCGATTTTGTTCATAAAAGCTACAAACACAGTCTGCTCAACCACGGGGTTTATTTTTTAAAAAGTATCTTCTTTAAAAGAAATCAGTAGTTTTAATTTCATGGAATTAAACTTTTGACTTTGTGTCCTGATCAATCTGCTCATTAACATCACTGCAATAAACAGACAAACTACAACTGTTGTGGTCTGCGTCGTAGCAATGTGCACACCATTGTACAAGCAAACATCTGGGTGCAGCAGCTTGGCGCACTGATGTATCAAGGCTCACTATCCTGACAGATAACCTGCAAACCTAACTGAAGGAACACCAAAAAACCCTAATCTTGAAACTGTGCAACACGTCTGACTGCCGCCCTGCAATATTTTACTACGAGCAGCTCTTTTATAATGTCATGTTTTATTTCGATAAAATCTTGAACATGTGTATTATAGTTTAAGCACAAACCTTTGTGCAGGGTCTGGTTCTCCAGCTCCAGGCTCTTCATGCGTGAAACCAGCTCCTGGTCTCCTGCATGTGAGGATGACTGCGGGAAGAACACCACAAATTAACACCAAGAGTCACACTGCAGGACAGCAAACACAGCAACAAATGCATTAACGCACAGGTCAAGAACAAACCCAAGGCTGATGTGAAAAAGCAAGCAAAACCAAAAAAGGGGTAAAAAGAGATTTAAACACAAAACGCTGATTAGAAATCAACTCCATCTCCAATGAATTTTGAAGCAGAACAAGATTGCTTCTTTCCAAGTCAGATTGATAGTAATTCATCATTAGCCTCCAGCCTGTTAACAAAGAGATTGAAAGCAGTTTGCTTAAAAATGGGGAACAGAAATGCAACCCCCCCCACAAAAAAAACAACAACAAAAAAAACTAAAACAAATATATGGTGACCGACAGTATAATGAGATCAGCTCTCTTTTCCTTTAAATTGTCATCTGCCTTTTTAACCTTCTGCTTCCAGTCTTTAACAAAAGCTGTGAGGCTGATACTGACCTTATCCAACTCGAACTCTCGGAAAACAGTTTGCTTCCAAGAATCATTAGCAGTTTGATCAAAACTGATAATCCCAACTATAATCATAATACAATATCTAGAATAAATGAAATCAGCTTTATTAGAAGCAGTCTAAATCAATTATATTGACAGACATAGAAAAGGAAGCTGGATGGCGAGAGGTGGTGGAACAGGATGAGATACCATGATGTTGTGATGAGTAACACACTCCAGGTCAGGCAGCAGCAGACACAGCCAGCATTGCTGTCTCATTCATGCAGCATTCCCAGCATTGCCTGAGCAGCAAAGCTATGCGACCGACTTACGTTTCTGTGCCGCCGTTTCTGCTGGCGACCTTTGGCCTGCTGCACGCCAGTTTTCACCAGCACCCGGTGATGTAAAAGGTAATGAGGGGGAAACATGAAAACAACAGGAAAAGTAGAAGATGTAGGTACAACGAGAGATCAATATTTTACAATTTATTGGGATACTACTGTCAACTGGTGCTCATATTTACATGCACGAAAGAATAAAAGCGGACCAACTACAGGTTGTCCTCCTTGCTCCCCCCATGAAAATAAGTTCTTATAAACGTCACCTTAAACCAAAGATATAGTCTTGTCCTTTTCCCCCCACTGATACTAAAGTCTGTGTCATTTTTCCATTACTGGGCCTCAAACAAACACAATCTTTGTATTCCAGTGAAAGAAGTTACCATATTTGTAAGTAACAACTGTAGCCTGATGATAACCAAAATAGTTCATTTTAATCTTGATCACTAACATTAGATTTTTAATCTCTGATTAATAAAGGAGAGGAGGAACAATTACAACAATTACGTGCAAGACCCATTTTTGAAACGACACCAACGTATACTGCTACCAAAACATTAAAAACCACTGATGATGATGATTATTTTCATGATTATTATTATACAAAAACAGGTACTACACAGCATGTGAATGCTCAATATGGACTGCACAAAATGTTGCCATTTACACTTCAATTCCACATTATGACACGGTGAACATCTGCAGTTCATGCACTCACTCTACATTTTCCTAGTGGATTTAGCAATGTCCTGCATGATGGCATCATCTCACCTAACCTGCAGGCACATGTGGGAAAAGAGCTAATGAAGTAGAAGCAGTCAAAGACAAAGCAGTGTGCAGGACTGACAAAAGTGGGGCGACTGGCTTAATAAAGGCTC